CTTAAATGCAGTCACTTCCAATACTTTTTGGTGTTGTCATCCATATTCTCTGTAGCCATGTTTTTGAGTTATAGTGTTGCATGTTGAGTTTTTAGTTACTTTCTTTTATGGTAAATTAGAATCTCTTGCCTATCTTCAAAATTTTTGAATTAAATCATCAAGCTTTTGTAATATAATTACTTTTATAATATTAAAATGACTAAGCTAAGCAGATACTTTGATTACTTTGGTGTAACATACTTGTGGAATTACTAATTTTTCTGGCTTTTAATTTTTATAATTTTTTTTGGTAGTAGTAGGTGATTCAGATTTCCACTGGCCTCTTGTTAATTTTTTATGTGAACAAATTTAGCACAAAAGCTCAGTTTAATCTTCTGCCTTGCAAAACTCTTTTGGAACCCTGTAAACTGCTTCGATCCTGACAGGTCATTTACTTTTTTTTTAATTAATTAATTTTTTAGGAATACAAATTTTATAAGTGCAAACTTTAGGAATATAGTTATTCTTCCCATCATCCCACACGCACTCCCATCCTTCCTTCTCCTCCCTCTCCCCTTACCAGTCCCATTCTCTATTAAGATTCATTTTCAATTAACTGTGTACACAGAAGACCAACTCTATACTAAATAAAGATTTCAACAATTTGCACACGCACTCACACACACAAAATAACTATTTGAGAACTAGTTTTACAGTTAACTCTCATAATACAACCCATTGAGGCCAGAGGTCCTGCCTGGGGAATTGATGCACAGTGACTCCTGTTGTTAATGTAACAATTAACACTCTTATGTATGACCACCTGAGGCGCTTAACATGAGCTGCCTATGGAAGCCTTTTGAATCCACAAACTCCATCAGTATTTAGACAAGGCCATAAGCAAAGTGGAAGTTCTCTCATCCCGTTAGAGAAAAGTACATCCTTCTTTGATGGGCACTTCTTTCTGCTGGAGTCTAACTCACAGAGATCCTTCATGTAGGTCATTTTTTGCCAGTGTCTTGGTTTTCCTTTTTGAAATACTCTCACAGGCTTTTCAGCCAGACTGGGAAGCCCTTAAGGGCTGATTCTGAGATCAGACTGTTACTTAAAGTGATCTGAGAGGTCCTTTTTGAAGCCTGTTTGCCTGTCTCTCATCTTCAACCCCTTGGATTCCCTTTTTTGTTTTGGTTCCTGCTTTTCAGATATAACAGCCTGGGCTTTCTTAGTGCATGCCTTCATTTGATTGGAGCTATAAAAGAGTAAATACAAGCCTTGCATTTCTCAAAAATGCCTTTAGTCTACTTGTTCATTTTATTTTAATAATTTAATAAGGATAGAATTCTAGGTTGAAAATAATTTTTATTCTGAAATTTGAGGGTTTTATTTCATTTTCTTCTGGCTCCCAGTGTTTTCATTGAAAAGCCTAGTATAATTCTGGTCTCAGATTCTTTTGTCCCTCTCTATTGAAGCTGTTTCTCTACTCCCTCATGTTAGAAATGAATTATTTTGCTTTTAAGAAGTCTTCTATGCTTTGGTGTGGATCTTTTATGATTTCTTTGGCATTTGATGGCCCTTTAAATTTATTCCATACAGTGATCCTTAATTCTGTGAGAAACTTTTTGGTGAGTTGTAATTTAATTTTCTCATTTTCTTTAACTCTTGCCGTGTATGTGTGTGTATGTGTATGTGTGTGTGTGTGTGTTTTATTTTTAAGATTTATCTATTAATTTATTTGAAAGGCAGAGTTACAGAGACGCAAGGAAAGATTGAGAGATGTTACCTACCTACTGGTTCGCTCCCCAAATGGCTATAACAGCCAGGGTTGGGCCGGGCCAAAGCCTGGCCAGGAACTCCATCTTTGGTGGCGGAGGTCCAAGTACTTGGACATTTTTCACTGCGTTCGGTCTTATTAGCAGGCGGCTGGATCAGAAGTGTAGCAGGCAGGAGTTTGAATGTTGCTCATACGGTATGCTGGCGTCACAGGCTGCGTCTTAACCCTGCTGTGCTACAATGCTGGCCTCACCATGTGCTTTTGAGTTACTGGATTGAACATACTTGTGTTATCTTTTTTCTCTTATTTTTAGCTAATATTTCTTCTATTTCCTGTGAAATTGCCTTTTATTTAAGCTTTATGTAGAATTTTTAAAGTTCTGACATATTTTGGAATTGGAGCTCTTTTTTAACTCAGTCTGCTGATTGCTGCATAGGATACATAATTATGATCTAGTTTTCTGTGTTTTTTTTGTTTGTTTGTTTGTTTGTTTTGTTTCTTTTGGAGATGGGGGAGAATGAAGTAAAGGTAAACTTAAACCCAGTGACTGTTGCTAGCTCCAAGGAGTTCCTCTATTCTCAAAGGTAATAAAACCCCAATTTCTGAGTCTTTCTGACTTCTGTTAGTGAGTTACCTTGTTTTTGCCATTATCCCACTCTGGAGGCTCTTAAGTTCAGACTTTTGCTGTAATTCCATGCCAGTATTGTCTATCCATCAGTTTCCAGTGTTCCACAGCGGGTACCTGTCAGTGTCTGGGGATGCATGGATGATTTTATGGGGCCTCTGGGATTAGCCTACTCCGGGCAGTCTGCCTAGCTGCTTCCATGGCCAGGAGTGGGTGAGTGGAACCTCTTGTCTGCTTTTCAGGGCCTCAGGGGACTGAGCTTCTGAGCTCAGGCTATTCTGCTTCTTGGGTCTTTAGGATGATTGTTGGGATGCCCAACTGTTTCTCATGGGTCTCAGTGGGCTGAGCCTGTTGAGAAAAGCTACTTGACTGCTTTCCATGGTTGTGAATGAGTGGACTAGATGACCTACTTCTCAGTGCCTCTGTGTGCCAGACAGGTTTGTTTGACGGCCTTCTGCCATACAGGGCTAGGGTTGGATAGATGACTGAGCAGGGCCCTTGACTGCTTCTGGTAGCAGGATGGTGGATAGGGCTACCTGGCTGCTTCCTGGGACTAAGAGTTGGTTTGGTGGAGCACCCAGCTGCTTCCAGGGTAGCAGGATGGTGGACAGATTAATCAGCTTGCCTGAGGACCTATAAAATAAAAGCGCTTCTGAGGGTAGGCCTCCCAAATGCTTCCTGTTGCCATTGGAGGGTAGATAGAAACACTGCCTCATTCTCAGGCCTGGGATGGTCAGGCTGCCATGGGCAACTGCCTAGTGACTTCACAGGACCCAGAGTGAGAAGGTCTCAAGATGGCATCCTGTAGCTGGTACTTGGATGCAGGAGTTCACAGCATAGACTGGGCTCTTGCTGCAGGATAACGTAGTAGAGTGGTAAGCTGGACAATCTTCCAACTGGCCTCTAGGCCTGCAGGGCAGCAGGCTTTCCAGTGTTAAGTACATCAGGTATCTGTGCTGTGAGTAGAGAATCCTGGAGCCTCCTGCTCAACCTCTCCCTCCCAAAGTTCTTGATTCAGGTTTAGGGTTGCTCTTGAGCAATGGGATGATAGATTCTTTGTGCCCACTTCCCTTCCTTCTAAGGCTGCCATGTACTTCCTTGGACATCAGTGTCTCTGTCATTTCCCCCTGGCACTGACACTCTTTCTAACACATCATTGAAATAGCTTTTTGTTTTTGTTTTGTTTCTTTGTTGGAGAAGGAAATGTGGAAGGTAACTCTCCTCAGCCATCTGTTGACACCTCTCCCCTAAATCCAATATAGCATTGTAAGTACATGTTTTTTATGTGCCTGTTTCAGTGACAAATACTCCCTCTATAATTTGGACCTTAAATTTCTCCATAACCAAATGTTTTGTAGAGTTCATGTGGTAGTATTCATCACACTAGAATATTTTAGGATTGTCTCTTAGAAATTATACTAATTGTAATGAGACTAAAGTAAACAATACATAACTTAATTCTGATATGAATTCAATACTTTCAAAGTTGAGTTAGAAGCTTTTAGTTTGTAAATCATCTGTTTCCTTTATAAGCTATGTTGTAATTTTCTGTTAATTTGTTGATTCATTTTTCTTATTCCATTTTAAATTTTCCCCCCACGTTTTTGATAGATTCCTTTGTAATGCTGATGATTGCACCATCAGTATTTTTTCCCACGAATGCACAGGTGTCATTATAAATGGTTCTCTAGAATAGGAATTTTTTTCTTTTTAGTAACTGGTATAGTAAACTTTCTGGTAGCATATTAACTCTGCCTTCAATTTCTATTTTTTAAACAAATTACTGCAAGGTCTTGCTATTTCAATGTAAGCATTAAAAACCTGGTGACAGGGACATTTTAATAGTGTTCTTGGCTGGCGCCGCAGCTCACTAGGCTAATCCTCCACCTAGCGGTGCCGGCACACCGGGTTCTAGTCGCGGTCGGGGCGCCGGATTCTGTCCCGGTTGCCCCTCTTCCAGGCCAGCTCTCTGCTGTGGCCCAGGAGTGCAGTGGAGGATGGCCCAAGTGCTTGGGCCCTGCACCCGCCTGGGAGACCAGGAGAAGCACCTGGCTCCTGGCTTCGGATCAGCACGGTGCGCCGGCCACAGTGCGCCTGCCGCGGCGGCCATTGGAGGGTGAACCAAACGGCAAAGGAAGACCTTTCTCTCTGTCTCTCTCTCACTGTGCACTCTGCCTGTCAAAAATAAATAAATTTAAAAAAATGATGATATGAGCATTTCATGGAAGACTATATATTTATTTTTTCCATTTTTTTAAATAAAAAATTTTATTTTTTTTTATATTTGAACAAATGTATATTTAAAAGTGCCAAGCACTTTTCGTGTTTTTGACGTCTCTGATGAAATAAACATATATTGATTGTCATACTACATCTTCTGCTTATAGTTTATGAATATTAATTTCTCATAGGCTGCCATTTGGCATTACTACTTTTAAAAACAAAAGCTATTATTTAAGAAATACAAACTTCATGCATTTCATAAATGTAACTTTAGGAATATAGTGATTCTTCCCTTCATACCCTCCCCCGCCCCGTATTTCTACCCCTTCTCCTCCTCTCTCTCCTATTCTCATTCTTATTTTTTACTAAGATCTATTTTAAATTAACTTTACACACATACAAAAAAATATGGAACACTTCATGAATTTGCATGTCATCCTTGCATAGGGGCTGTGCTACTCTTCTCTGTATCATTCCAATTTTAGTGTATGTGCTGCCGTAGAAAGCACCTATATGGTTATTTAAAAGAGCAAGTTATGTGTGTTCATGCGTGTTTATTCACATGAAATGATATGTAAGAGTTATTGGATGAGAACCCGAGAATGTATATACATGTGTGCATATGCATTGGCATTCCTGGAAGCTTTTTCAAGAAACGATGAGATTGCTTCATTTACATTCCATTTTCAATTTTTTTCTTCAAAGTTATTTTATTCTTTACTGTAACCGGGTTTTATATTCATATTTGATAATATTTTATTTTTATAATTAAAATATTTTAAAGGAAATATTCATGAAATATCTTTTGTAATACTGTGGTTACTGACTTACCAATTTCTAAAAAAATTTAATAGGTAATAAATGTTTGAATATAAAACTGCAGGCAACTAATTAAAATAATTAATGTATTTTCCTTTAAATGATTAAGTTTAGACCACTGAAAATAATATTTCAATACTTCAAAAAAGTTATTTAATGAATGCTAATTGTTTTCCTATTTGAAAAATTGGACTACTGAATTGTAAACTGAAACCAAGATCATTAATCTCAAGATTGTATTTATTTATTTTTAAATATTTATTTATTGGCCGGCGCCGCGGCTCAATAGGCTAATCCTCCACCTAGCGGCGCCGGCACACCGGGTTCTAGTCCCGGTCGGGGTGCTGGATTCTGTCCTGGTTGCCCCTCTTCCAGGCCAGCTCTCTGCTGTGGCCTGGGAGTGCAGTGGAGGATGGCCCAAGTACTTGGGCCCTGCACCCCATGGGAGACCAGGAGAAGCACCTGGCTCCTGCCATCGGATCAGCGCGGAGCGCCGGCCGCAGTGCGCCAGCTGCGGCAGCCATTGGAAGGTGAACCAGCGACAAAAGGAAGACCTTTGTCTCTGTCTCTCTCCTTCTCACTGTCCACTCTGCCTGTAAATATATATATATACATATATATTTATTTATTTGAAAGGCAGAGTCACAGAGGAAGAGGGACAGACAGAGATCTTCCATCGGCTGGTTCACTCCCCAAATGGCTGCAACTGTCAAGGCTGAGCCAGGCCAAAGCCAGGAGGCAGGGGGCAGGAGCCTGGAGCTACTTCCAGGTTGCCCATGTTGGTGGCAGGGCTCCAAACACTTGGGCCATCTTACACTGCTTTTCCCAGCTGCATTAGCAGGGAGCTAGATCAGAAGTGGAGCAGCCAGGACTCAAACCAGTGCCCATATGAATGCCAGAGTCATAGCCAGTGACTTAACCCGCTACACCAAGATACCAGACCCTAATTCCAAGATTTCAAAGTAAACTTCCAGGGGAAAAATATAAGTTAATTATATATTACAGACTTCAGAAGATGGTTGAAATAAAAAATTCCAAAGTTAACGATAAAAGCTTAGCACATTATTGAGCTGACAAGGTATATGAGGCCAAATCAGCCCCCTTGCTAACAAAAGAAAACAACAAGATGACAGCTGTAGTGTTTGGAGAGAGGTTGTTAACAACAGCTTATTCTGTTAGTTTCAACTCTTGACAGAAGACAAGCCTGCTTCTTGCTTCATGGCAGATGTATCATTACCTCCTGACCCTGTCATGACTGATTGGGGCTGGGGGCAGGGGTTGGGCTAGGGAGAGCTGTGTTCAGTTCTGAAAATCTAATTACCTTCTGTGATTTTATTCACCTATTTTGAGACAGATCTGATAAGCTTTTTATGATGACTCTTTGCATTTAGACTGTCTCAAGTAGTGAACTAGTTAACTATGATTAAGCCTATATTTAATATATGTATGATATATATACTAGGATCAAGTGAAGAGTTTGTTCTAATGGTGTAGAGCACCCTTATATTTTGAAATTATCATGAAAATATTACAAGTCCTCTTGTGTCTAACGTGTATTCTTCTACCTGTATCTAAATCTGATTTCAAGTAGCTTTGAAGTTAGATCTAGGCCTTTTCTCTAAGAAGAGGTGAAAATAGGAGGGACTTCACAAAGTTGGTGGAGAAAAGTGGAATTAAAAGGAAAGTTTATTTTGGTGCAAAAAAAATTTAACCCCAGGCATAGTTTGTTCATAGTATGTGTCTTCCAAGAACTTGTTGAATACTCATTATATACTGGGTTTTAAAATGATTAGGGCACCAATTTTACATGTAAAATATTGGTTATAATATAATTTGGTTATAATTTAGTCATTCTGCTTCTCAATTGCATGTATATATGAATTTTTCTGTTTTTTTTTTTTTTCTTGGCTACCTAAGAAGTGACTCTGGAGACAGAGAAAGAGAGGCTGTAGATTTTTGAAAGTATGTCAAAAGCCTTGGGGTTTGTGTATGATCAGAATTTCAATAGAGGTTGAGATGAGTTTAAATGCATAGAAGGCAAACATAAAAATCTTGTTTAATTTCTGTCATGTTGTTCTTTTTTGAGTCACTCTGATGTCTTTTCAAATCTGCTTTTCTCTTGAGCTTTGTGCTATCATATCCATGATCTGACTGTTTTCTCCTTTTTATTTCATTGCAACTGCTGATCCCCTTCCTGTGGTCCTTTCTTTAATCAGCTGAAGCTGTCTGTATTGCTGAATCAGAGCTGCTTTGGGTATGAGAGAATGTGCAGGTTGAGATTGGTTAGAAGGTACCGCCTCCTGCAGTTATAATCAATGCTCTGGACACTTTCAAAGACTGGAAAAGCCTTGACTTGCTCCAGGGTTAAACTTTTAATGTAACTTCCCAAGAGAAAGTGTCATCAATAAAATGAAATAATTAGTTGACAGTTCTTGAGCAGCCTAGGTTTAACAAAAGGTTAAAAATAGATCAGGTTTGTATATCTCATTGTAGTGGTTTCTTTTGTTCTTTCTCTTTTACATTTTTGTTTATCTTGAACATGATTGCTAAAGCTCATTTACTTCCAGTATTCAATAATCCCTTGAGTTTCTTTAATTTGAGGGAAAGAACTAAAATGGGAAAGAACATCAGCCTTTAGTAGTAGGAAATCATCTTAAATTTAATTTGAAATATGGATAGTAAATTATAGAAGTAGGTAATTTATGAAGATATAGTTTGCATTATAAAAGTCAACAACCTTAAGATTAAATGTGTTATGTAATCAATAAAATAATGTTAAATAAAATTATGTTAATGCGCATGAATTTAAGGATAATTATTAGCCTCCATTTATATAGATGTATGCTAGCTATCTATATAATGATTCTGATATTACTTGCTTCTGATATTACTTGGCTACATTCAACTATTTAAATGATAACAAAAAAGGAATTTTAAAATTATTAATGCCAATATACATTACCTATTTCAATACATCCTAGCAATTATAACTCATGTCCAATTATGAGTGCTAAATTTAATACAAACTCGTTTACTCCGCAATACGCAGGAGCCACGTCCTGAAGGAGCCCAGTTACCTGAGTCTTCATGGCTGACTCCCTGGGTCTTCATTAGTCAGAAGCTGAAGTCAACTGTTGAGCCTAAGTTCTGTCATGTGGGACACGGGCTTCTTCACTGGCATCTCAACTGCTAGGCTGAAATATCTGTCCCTACTTTTTTGCAGAGTAACTTCCTCTAATTGAGACTTTCAATAGGAATTCTGATTGGAACAGAATAGTATTTTGATTCATGCTAATAGTTTAAAAATGTACTGCCCTTTTGAACACTGTGTGTTGTTTGTGATCAGAAGCTTAAAAAAATTACATTCTTCTATCAGAACAAACTTGAACTACTGGTAATTGTTATTTTTCCTGGAAGTTAACAAATTACAGCATCAAAGCCTGTATGCAGCAGTGTATAGTATAGGTCACTTACTGCTGTAGGCATTTTCTCTCTGTCTCCAGGATGAGTTTGTTTAGTTTCTTTCACTTTCTGCCTGTGGCATGGAATGGTGAAATTCAGACTTGCTCTTCTCCAAGGAATCTCCCAGGTTGAGGATAACTTAAACAAAATTAATAAGTGATGTTTCTTTTTCATTATCAACCATCCAAAGCAATTTGCAGTTTTGCAGCAAAAAAAAATGAGTTGTGTAGAAAGTGCTTAACTGTACGTGAGTCAGTTTTAAAAGATAGTATATTTAAGATAGTCAATACTATACAAAATAAAAAATATTGGGTGCCAACACTGTGGTGCAATAGGTTAAAGCCCCAGCCTGCCTGCTGGCATTCCATAAGGGCACCAGTTCAAGTCCTGGCTGCTCCACTTCTGATCCAACTCCCTCTACTGCACCTGGAAAGCAGCAGAGGATGGCCCAACTCCTGGGGCCTTTGCACCCATGTGGGAGACCCAGAAGAAGCTCATGCCTCCTAGCCTTGGATCGGTCCAGTTCCGGCCTTTGTGACCATTTGGGGAGTGAACCATCGGGTGGAAGGCTTCTCTCTCTCTATCTCTCTGCCTATCCCTCGCTGTAAATCTGTCTTTCAAATAAATAGATAGATAGATAGATAGATAGATAGATAAAATATTGACCCAATAACTTCTCAAAGCTCTTCCATTTCTTATTCTGGTGGGGGAAAAAAAAAAAAAACCTTAGAATTTTATCTTGAAATTAAATACTAAGTGTAGGCGCTTACCTTTTGTTATTAAATTAAATGGACCAGTTCACTTAGCCAGACAAGATAGAGGTTTAGTTACTTGAGAATGCTTATTGAAAATTTTATTTTTATTCTTTAATGGAATCATTTTGCTTAAGCATTTTGTTACAATATATTACAGTTTTTTAGAAGAAAAACTTGATGCTTAATCTATATAAATGCTATGAGCAATGGGATTTAAGATTGCTTGCGAAAGAGACTATGGGCGGCTCAATAGGCTAATCCTCTGCCTTGCGGCGCTGGCACTCCGGGTTCTAGTCCCGGTCGGGGAGCCGGATTCTGTCCCGGTTGCCCCTCTTCCAGGCCAGCTCTCTGCTGTGGCCAGGGAGTGCAGTGGAGGATGGCCCAAGTGCCTGGGCCCTGCACCCCATGGGAGACCAGGAGAAGCACCTGGCTCCTTCCTTCAGATCAGCGCGGTGCCCCTTGCTGCAGCGTGC